GTCCATTTGGCCAGAAAAGAGAATTAGAAAGGGAGTGTGAGCAAGTGATAGGCCATCTTTTCTCCAGATCTGTTCCCAGCCTGTCAATGCCAGCACTCCACAGCTGCTGGTAATGTGGCTGCCAGGTTTGCAATAGTGGATAGCACAGCTGTTAGTGGGGGCAAATGAGCCAGAAGGACAGAAATCCCACCTCATGTCACTGTAAAAATCCAGCAATCCCTGAATCAGAGAGGGCAGGTGCCACATGGAGCAAGCACTCTGCAGCCTCTGGATTTCTTTTAGGGTCGGGGTTAACACTGGAACAGAAGGACCACACACTCCCATCCAGGGATGGGACGCCAGGTTTGATTGTTCTGAACATCAAAACCCAAAATAGTTTCATTGTGATCTTCAATTAAAAAGCCAGTGGTTGACATCCACTTCTCACCAAGGAGCCATAATTAACCTCAGCAGTTCACGTGTAGCCCTTGTTCCATTTGCTACAGGGATTTTAAATCTTTGCTGTCCAGGTCGCACACGCGGCTTCTCAGCATCCCACTGTGTTAGTATTGAATGTTGTGCTCCCGTATCTATTAGAAATGTTATTAACAGTTGATGAGAACCAAGTGGAATCCAAATGTCCGGGTGACGACTGTGAGTGAATTGAGAGGATTCTACTTGCTGGATTTCAATCTTGTCTGGCTTGTGAGCATAATGCTCTTGCAAATCAGCCCCTGAAGAAGATCAAATGAGCCATTTTTCATGTCTGGCTTCCCACTCCTCCTCGGGGTTTTGATGTGGATCTGGCATCAGACATGGGTGAATTTGAAAGAGATAAAGAATAATTTCCCCCTAGTTCATTATCACAGGGATCACCCCTTATAATTCCATCCCAGCCTTCAGGTGATACAGTTAGTTTCCTAATCTGTACAATTCTGAGTGCATTGGCATGTTGCTTAAGCATCATCTCTAACTTTTCTTCCAAGTTTTGCTTATTTTTCTTTTTCTTCCTGTAATTTTTTCTGAAGTTGCTCGATTTTAAATAGCAGTAATAACTCAGCTGCTTTTCTCCCTTCTATTGCCTCTCTTTTCTCTCCTATGCTTTTTCCTATCCAAATTCTCCAATCATTGTCTTTCCCTGCACTCTGCCAAAGCAAGAACAGTCCTAAGATGATCATTCTCAGTTAAATGGATTCCCAGTTTTAATTCAGTCTCCCTCTCAGAAGCCAGTGATGATTTTAGTACTTCATTTTCTTATTTCAAAACTGCATATTCTACATCAGATATTCGTTTGGAAGCAGGAGATTCTGTAACTTCTTTCTGCACATAAACAGACTCCTAAAACTGCACAAATGATCCCCTCTGCTGGGTCAGCCTTTTGTCAACAGTCCATGCCTGACTCTCGACCTTGTTCCTGTGCTTGCTCTGTACTGTGTTGTGCTCCAGGAGCCAGAAAAAAGATGTTTGTCCCAGAAAAGAGCTGCCCTACCTCTGTCTGGCCCCCTCTCCAGCCATATCCTGTTTTTTTCCCATAGTGTCTTCTTACCAACAGTCCTTGGTTGGCTGCACTGCTATCCTGCTATTGCTGTATGAGACACACGCACACCAGCCGTTTGTTTTCTGGCCTCCTACACTCCCCAGCAGTGCCAGGCATTGAGGGGACACAGGCAAGGCTACAGCACTCAAGTCTCACTGAGGAGAATCTCAAACCCAGATGAAACACTTCATGCTACCACCAGGAAACACTTCATGCTACCACCAGGAAGCCTCCAGGGACTGAGCTGTTTCCCAGGGTCCTTGCTCCTGTCTCATTTAAAAGCTCTGAGGTTACAGGTTCTGGTGGTTCTATGGGGATGGGGGAGTCCTCTGCCCCATTAGGTCCTTGACCTGAGCCAGGAGCTACGGCAAGAGGAATCAGAGTATGGGGAGGCTGGGATAAGGAAGGTGGTGAATGTCAGGGCTGGAGTCAATGGCTCCAGAAAACAGCATCATTTCTGGAAGGGCCAAGAATCCCCACCAGCAACAGCGACACAGAAATCTAGCCATGGCATAAACCTATCTCTCCACAAGCCTCAAATGAGGCCCTGCCTGGAAGCAGTGGTTCTCAAACATTTGGCCTTATATGAGGCTTCAGGGCCTCATGGCCTCAGAGAGCAGAGGGGAACTGCATCAGCTGGCATCGCCACACAGGGGAAGCCACCCACTCTCCCTCCTCTCAGATTTTTCTCAAAAGCAAGCTTCCTGGCAAAATGGTTTGGCCTTTGCCAGGTGACACCTTTCATCTGCAGAAGCTGCAGCTGCCTGCTCTGACTCCTCCTGTGTGATTCCTGCCAAGTTCAGTTGTTTACTATCAGTGTTTCCAGCAGCCCCCAGCCTTCCTTTCCCCAGAGGCTTACATTCCTGGGAACACCACTACCCACACCTGCACCCATCCCTAAGCCAGCTCCCTCACTCCTGCTCCTTCCATGCTCTGGTAGCAGTTTTATCCTATCTGGCTACTACTGAGAATTTCCTGAGTGGATGCAAGGTAGTATCCAAAGTGACTGACTCCAGAGGTAGATAGGAAAGTTTTATCCCTGTCTCCTGTGTCCGCTGGGCTTCCCATCCCCCCTGAACAATGTGATCCTGAAAGCTGCTGTGCTGACAACTGAAACTTTGCAACTCCTGCTCACTTCACTAGCAGAGGCCCCTAGCAGAGTAGTAAAGGAGTGCTCCGAGCTGAATGTCCTTGGCATTTACTGGAAGGGATTCAAACAGGGTTTTCATTGGACTTGCCAAGGAGGTGGAGTGTGGAGGTCAGTGTGGCACAGGCTGCCAGAGGATGTTTGTGTGCCTATGTGAAAGGACAGAGAAGGGCTGTTTGTACAGCATAGGGTTGTGTTGGATTGTCATCCTCCTGCTGCAATGAGGGATTGTGTCTCTCCCTGGATGGGGGTTTCTGCAGCATGTGCTGTTTACAGAGATCTTTCTCTTGAGGAATGTCCTCCATCTGGGGGGAGCAAGGGAGAGAAAATGCAGTTGTAAGGAGAGAGTGATGGACACCCATGGGGTTCAGATGTTCCGTCTACCCCTTTTCTCCACCCAGGAGCAAAGCAGACACAGATGGATGTCAAGTCCCTCCCCTTTCCATGACAGGGCTGGGTGCAGACAAATCTGGCAGAGCAGTGGATGGCAGAAGATCATCAGGGACAGGACAGAAAAAAACAGAAGATGTCAAAGAGTAGGAGGCATCTGAAGAAAAGAGTTTGAATATGTCTAGGGAAGAGGCAGGAAGGTGAAAGAGTAGCTTTCCTCTGACATATATAGAAGGGATAAAATGCAGCAGCTGGCAACCCAATGGCATGACGGTTTTGATTCTGTCCCTGTGCTTGGTTGTATCTACAGGTGTGTGTGAAAGAGCATCATGAGAGAAAAGTAGGAAATTTGTAAGACTAAATGACAATTAGATTGGAATATGTGGGCACAGGTGGGAAGTGGGAATGTGAGTGGTCTAAGAGCACATTTCCCCTTGTGCATCATCTTCTGTGATTCTGCCACAGCTTTCTGGACTGAATAGCTCCTCCTCCCTAACATCTGACCCCAGGTCAGTAGGAAAAGCTACTGAGGGGTTGTTCCTTCTGCACAGGTCTCAGGCAGAAAGGGAGAGACTGCTCATCAAGGGATTGTCTCACAAAAGCTAGAATCAGAGAAACACAGGATATCCTGAGTTGGAAGGGACTCATAAGGTTCATCGAGTCCAACTCCTGCACAGAAGAAAACCAACGATCCCACTCTGTCCCTGAGAGTGTTGTCCAAACACTCCTTGAGCTCTGACAGCCTTGGGGCCGTGACCACTGCCCTGGGGAACCTGTTCAGTGCCCAAAGACCCTCTAGGGAAAGAACCTTATCCTAATATACAACCTAAACACCCACTGATACAGTTTCATGCCCTTCCCTCATATCCTGTCATTGGTCAACACTGAGAAGAGATTGGAGCTGCCCCTCTGCTGCCCCTCGTGAGGAAGTTGCAGACCCCGATGATGTCTGACCTCAGTCTCCTCTTCTCCAGGCTGAAAAAACCAAATGCCCTCAGCTGCTTCTCGTATGGCCCCTCCAGACCCTTCACCATCTCCCTGGCCCTACTTGGATGCTCTCTAATGGCTTTATATCCTTCCTATATTGCAGTGCCCAAAATTGCCACAGTATTCTAGGTGAGGCTGCCCTAGTGCAGAGCGGAGTGGGACATTCCTCTCCCCTGACCATCTGGCAATGCCCTGCCTGATGCCCCCCAGGACACAGTTGGCCATTCTGGCTGCCAGGTCACACAGTTGACCCATATCCAACTTGCCACTGACCCAGTCTCCCAGATCCCTTTCTGCAGTGGTGTTCTCCAGCACCTTATTCCCCAGTCTGTCCATACAGCCAAGGTGGCCCCATCGCAAATACAGAATCTATCAATTATCAATTATAAGCTTCATACAGCTGCTGATTTCCCAGCCCTCAAATTTGTCTAGGTAGCAAGGTAAGGGGTGAGGGCTGGCTAGAGTGAACTGGTGCAGTCCTTAGAGAGAGGTCACACTGAGTTTGCATGGCTCCTGTTAAAAAGCAGCACAGAATTAAGAGGTGCTGTATAACTTATCTGTGAAAAGTAAAATGCACTGCATTGAGTTCCACCCTCTCCTTCCTCCACCTTTTTCCTTGAGCAGAATGTAAGAGATGTCAGACAATGAAGGAGGACTCGGGCCCAGGCTGGGATGCAAAAAATTTAATGAGCCTAAGAAGAAAGGCAGCTCACAGAAGGCACTAACAGCAGTCACTAAGACACTGGAGCTCCTGCAGGGTGTCCATCTGCCTGCCCTGCAGAGGGAGGGATGGTGACAGGCCCCCCTGGGGTGGCCTGGGGAGACACAGAAAGCAAAGGAAAAAGAGAGAGCAGAGACTAGAAGAAGGGAACAATGGCTTGAAGCTTTAAATACAATGTCTTGTCCAGCCCCATGTTGTGAGGTCTTGAAGGTTCTTGCCCCAGGATGTTGCCAGCAGCTTTAGCAGGGAAGGCATCTGTTGCCACAATAGCGGTTGGTGATGCAGGAGAGGTCAAAGCCCCCGGAGTTGATGGGCACTCCGTCACAGCTGAGGATGCTGCCAACGGCAGCGGAGGTGGAGGATCCCACGGCGGTGTTCTGTGGGAAGGAGCTGAGGATGGGCCCAGGCAGGGTCACCACAACGGGGGAGGGCTGGATGACTACGGTGGAGTCCTGGCACTGCCTGACACAGCACTCATTGCAGCTGTTGGCCAGCGGGGTGGGGCCGCAGGGCTGGCAGCAAGGGTTGCAGGGCTGGCAGCACGACATGTCTCTGGCTCACAGGGGCACCTGGCACACAGGGCAGGGAGAAGGCACAAAGCAGACACACATGAGAAGCAGCCCTGCACCCAACCCCCCTGCAGACAAGGCACCTCCTGCCCCACATGACACTGCCCAGCCCAAAGCCCAGCAGCCTCCTCAGCCAAGTCCCAGCCTCTCTCTGCACAACACCTTCTCTCCCCTTCCCTCTCCCAGCAGAAGCAGCTCCCAGCCCTGGCCTAGCACAGCTCATGTCAGCTGTAGCAGGCAAAGAAGAAGGGCTTTCCCACTCACCTGATTCCCAAGGAGAAGGAGGTGAGAGAAGTGGGTGAGAGAGCAGAGGCTTGGGCTGCCTTTTATAGCAGTCCTGCACTGCCCCAGGCCCACATCTTGCACCTTTGTGCAAGTCATAATTTTCTGACCAGCTCATGTCAGTTGTGAACCATCCCAGCTAATGGTAGGGGCTGTGTCCTGGTTTCCTGCACTGCTGCCTTTTCATTTCCTGGCACATGGAACATTCTTTCCTGCTTGAGGGCTTCTGTAAGTGCTGGAGGGCAAGCCCAAGGATTTCCGGGACATTAACATGTCAACATGGGCAGAATGCTCAGTTCAAGGCCTGTTGGCATCTCATGCAGGCAGGTGATGTTCATTCTTGTGGTCTTGTTTGTGGTAAAGTTTTCAGGAAATGGTCATCACTCTTGTTCTTCTCACCTGCACACCCAAGGACTGCCGTGTGGGGGTACATCCCAGCATCTCCTCAGCAGAGTCCCCAGTTGCTAAACTTTTCCTGTCCTTGTATGAGCGTTCAGACTTTTGAGTGGTTCTATCAGACCACTGAATTGAAGCCCCTGAATTGATCCCCTTATGCTGGAGTGTTGCTGTGCCTGGGATGGGACAGGGGCTCCTCATGTCCAGGCCAATGCCAGATGCACTTCAACAGCTCATCAACCTAGTGCTGAGTGAGGCAGTTGCAGCACCTTGCCTCAAATGGATGCTGGAGTGAAGGGACTGGGATCTGGATTGTGCTCTGCTTGGAGATGTAGAACAGACTGTCTGTGTGGCACAAGGGAAGTCAAACATTAATTGAGTCAAACTCCTTTTGTGTTCAAGCACCAGGACTTCTCCACATCCCCCTCCCCTTCCCCCCCCCCCCGCATGCCTCGCAGCTGTGTCTGGAAAGGCAAGAAGGTGTGAACTTTAGGCAAACTGCCAAAATCTTGCTGCTTTTCATGATCAGGTCTGGTAAAGTCCATCTTTGCATAGAAAGAAACTGTTGTGTATTGACCACAGTCCCACATTGTGCATCCCGCTGTGCTGCCTAAGGGTGGAGGAAATTGGAGAACGAGGAATGAGCAAGAGGCATTGTGTCTGTGAAAAAGAATTGGGGATGGAGTGAAGGCATTTTAGTTCAGTTTTGTGGGGGTTTTTTGCTTTTTCTTGCAATGTTTCTCTGGTTTATTGGTAAAATGTAGAATAAATGTTCCTCAAGTCAAGCCTGGGTTTACCTCTGTCGGTAAGCAGCAAGTAATCCCTCTGTCTTTACCTTGATCCACAACTTTTTTCCTCCTTATTTTTTTTTAGAAAGGGAAATACCTTTCTCCCTCAGAGAGGACAGACCATCTTCATGACCATCCAGGAGCCCTGACACCACAGTGCTTGTTGGTATCCTGGCCATGGCTGTGAAAGTCTCTGCCTCCCAGCTGGAGCACGTAAGGAGCTGGCAGGTCCTGGGCTGTGGGGAGCAGACTCCAAAACTCCCAGATCTGACACACTTGAGGCCAGTCAAGAGCTGATTTCAGCTACAATTGGGGAAACTGGTGCCATTCTGTGGCAGCCTCACACCCATCTGAGTTGCCAGTAGGTGTCCCTGGGTCATGGTGGCACAACCGGATGGTCAAGAAAAGCCTGGATGTGGCCCTTCACCACATCTGAATGGACTTCCCTGTATCCAGACAAGGTTGTCAAAAGCCTTTTAGACCTTTCCATGCCATGTGACAGATATGGGATTGACAGCCTAGAGAGCTCAGCAGTTGCAGGGAGAAGCCCAAAACCCTCCAGCTGCCAAATCCTGGGAAATTTTCTGAAGGCCAGGGGAGCAGGGACCTCTGTCTGCACTGTTGGCTTTTTGATCAGACATGCAATAGCCAGAGCTACCCTCTTCCTTGCTTCCGGACTCCTGGTGTGTCTGGGGCCCATGGAGTACAGCACCCTGGGGCCATGGCTAGGAGAAATTTTTCACTGTCTGGCCTGAGCTGTGAAAAACTTGTAGGGCAAAGGAGGGCTGCTTGGGCCCCTCTGCTCAAAGGCACAGAGCCTGCCTATGCCAGGGCTACCTCTCTTTCCCGTCCTTGCCTCCCCCTGCCTTGCTGGGCAGGCTGGAAATCTGGGAAAGAGCAGAACATGACAGAGATAGAGGCAGGGGAAAAGCCATGGCAGGGGCAGAGGGAGGGGCAGGGTCTGCACGTGTTAAGTGCAGGTGGATATATCCAAATTATATACAAGTCAAACAATAGCTTATTTATCCTAATGTAATTAATCTTTCAAACCTTCTGCCATACCTTGTTCTGTGACATCATCCTCCCCTTTGACTGCTTTCAGGGCACCACATTCCCTGGGTCTGAGGTGCCCTTACTTCCAGACACGGGGTATCACCATGGACAGCTCTGCTCCTGCCAGTCACTGCAGTGCCCTCAGGGCTGTGGCTCCTGCTCACTTAGTGCTTTAAGCCACTGTTTCCTTGGGTGCACTGGCCTTTCAGGGGCCACACAGTGTTGTTTTGGGGTGTTGTGCCTCCAGGCTGCAGCACCTGACTTGTTCCTGCTCCCAGTTTTCATGAGCTGTAGCAGCACCAGGTGCCCCATGGCAGCAACTCTGAGCAATGAGCAGCACCTTTCTACACTGCCCAAGGGTGGAAGACATCCTCCTGCCCATGGGCAACTGGACAGCCCTTGGCTGTGCCACAGCTCCCAAGGCATTGCTGACATGAAATGGGCAGGGGCTGTTCTGGGAAGACTCTTTGAATCCAATAAAATGGCCAAGAATCCCTGGGAAGCGTAGGAACACAAAGATCTAATATAGCTTGCTAATATAACTCTTCAGTTAAAAACACAGAATCAGAACTGGGTTTTGTTTGTTTGATTGATTACTTCTGAGCAAAATCATGTAGAAACAGAAAGTGAATCCTCCAAGTTTATTTTCCTTCCAAGGCTTTCCTGTTCATACTAGGACTTCATCTCCAAAAGTTAGGAGTTCAAGCTCAACACTGGCATGAGAAATGGAACAGGACCCTTCTGATGCCTTTAAAGTATTTCCCACCATTCCTAGTTTTGAGACCAAGATCTTTTTGTACAGACTTTCCCTCCAAACACAGAAACTTTTGTATTGGTTTGAAGTCCCATAGACAGAGTAAATGCTTGGACTGGAAATTCCTTCAAAAGATCCATTTGGCACTCTAGTGATGCCAATGTCATGCCTCACTATAAGTCACAAACACATATGATAAATTGTCTTAAGGTTTTGAAGACATGAGCCTTGTTGGGGTGGAATGAGTCCTTTCAGAGGAAATTCATACATCCAGCCGATCTCTGGGGAGCACTGCATGGCTCTGGGAGACCACACAGCTGTTCAGAGTTCCTATTCAGAGACTCCAGAGGTAATAATGGCCAGTCTTCGCGAGCGAAGATTTGGGAAGGGTCATTAACCCTTCGAGCCTGCGCAGTGGATTTTTTAGGTGAGACACAGCGTGTGCTGAACTGAGCCC